TTATTAGTCAAAATCAGTGAAAAGAACTATGATGTGTGTAATAGTGAGATAATTAGGTTGCAAAAATGGATTTAATACGTGTGGTGTTAAAATACAAGTAATCAAAAAAGTCTTCTTTTAACTAAAGTAACTGTCTGTCATGGATACAATTTGACGGACGAGTAAGATTGGTGGGTTAGCTAGGAAACGCGCATGACGAATCCCTTGGGGTTTGGTTAAAGGGTTATGTCACCGACCAGTCACTTTATTCCAGGCCCAATTTGCGTGGGGTATGGGAACGACGGTTGTTCAGATACACAGATTTTAGAAAAAAAATGATAAAAACGAAAATTTATTTTTCGAAAATAAATGATATAAGGAAATTAGCTTCTTTCTCATTTCAATCGATTCGCTTCTTCATCTCTCTCTCTTCCATCTCCTTCTGCGAAACCCTAGATTTTGGAGTTAGGAAGAAGAACTCTTCAATGGTGGAAGTAGAGAAGACGAACATTAGCGATGTACCGGTCTCGGAAGACGAGCAGTATGGGTTTAAACGGCCAGAGATGTACAGTGGTAGCCTCGTCGGTTCCGTTGGTCCGTATGGTCGCCATGTTTTCCTTTGTTACAAGAGTCACGAGACTTGGCTTCCTCGTGTAGAAGTTGAAGGTCTTCCGCAGCGTTTCGCTAAGTCGTTCAAGGATCGGAAAGCTGATTTCGCTGTTGAGGTATTCAGATTTGTGTGTTTTCTGGTGTGAACGATCGGTTATATGGTTACTGAATGTTGAGCGTTTTGTTGTTGTAGACGAAGCTGACGGTATGTGGTGGTGGTGGTGAATCTGATGGAGATGTGTTGATTTTCCCGGAGATGATCAGATACAAGTGAGTGCTTTGAGGATTCGATTCTCTGCTAGTTTTACTTTCGAATTCTTGCTTGAAACTGGCCGATTTAGGATACCTAGATACTCAGATTCTGGATCTTTCAGTTATAGAAATGATGATGTTAAAGTTAAACTCGAGATTTGGATCTGAATAGCCAAATTCCAATCATTCCGTTGATATTTGTATCTGTGTTGTTTTGGATCTTTTACCTATAGTTAGAGATCTTGCTTTGTGTCTTATCATTGTACACTTTCTCCTCTTCTTGTTATTACTCAAAAGGGCGCTTAAGGACACAGATGTGGATGCTTTTGTGGAAGATGTGCTTGTTAATGGAAAACCATGGATCTCTGGRATTCAGGAAGAGTTGTCAGGTTCCTTTGTATTTGTGTGTGCTCATGGTAGCCGGGACAAGAGATGTGGCGTTTGTGGACCAGCTCTTATGGAGAAGTTCGAGGAGGAGATAGGTTCACGAGGACTTTCAGACAAAATCTTTGTTAAGCCATGTTCTCATATYGGTGGGCACAAGTATGCTGGAAATTTGATTGTCTTCAGCCCTGATTCAACTGGAAATATATCTGGCCATTGGTAAGAAAATGTCAAACCCGAGTTGCTTGTATGATTCAGAAAAGAAATTGAAGTGTAATATCTTATGCATCAGCAAWCGATCTTGCTAATATTGCAGGTACGGCTATGTGACTCCTGATGACGTGCCTGCGATGCTTGATCAGCATATTGCAAAAGGAGAAATCATAGAAAAGCTTTCCAGGTCTGTTTCCAACTTCTTGTTTCTAGCTTGTTGCAG